ATTTTCTTCAAATATGCCTGCAACATTTTTATAAACAAGTATTTACTTGGAGAAAAGCCGAGGCTTCTGACGCTGGCAGCAAACTTAAATCTGAATTTTGGTGTACTTCTAAGAGTTGGAACATTACCATTAATCACACTCTCCTGTCGTGTTTTTAAACCCAGAACTTTTCGCTTTCAGTATGAAACGTATGGATAAACCTTTTTTACCACATGCATCTTCAGAGGAAAAGCAGGTCGTTATTCTTTCTCACTGCATCTGTATTTTAGATCATTGTAAACTATATACCTTGTGATTGACAAAAGGGGGGTATGCAGATTTGTCAGTGTAAAGTGGCAACTGTAATTCTCCCATTCAGTTATCAATACTGTGATGGTGATTTTTCAAATACAGCAGTGTTTGGTTTTGCAGGCATGTCGTTGCCCGGAGCGGAATTGCAGTCATAGATTGCTCATGGGCCAAATTAGAAGAAACTCCCTTTAAGAGAATGAGAGGAAGTCACCTACGGCTGCTGCCTTACTTGGTGGCTGCAAACCCTGTGAACTATGGTCGGCCGTGCAAACTGTCCTGCGTGGAAGCTTTCGCTGCAGCCTTTTGCATTGTCGGTAGGTTGTAATGCATCCGATGTGAAATATGTTACCAGCAATTCTTATATCCTTAATAAATAAGAAGAGATAACCTGCTATAGAATAAACTGTAATGCTGTCCCACTGGTCATTGTTTACGTTGAGTCTGGAATCAGATTGTCTAGCTTTCTTCTAAGTACTTGTATCTGGCAGTATTGAGGTATCTGTGGGGAGTTCGTGTCAGCCATGAAACTGGACACAACCTGATAATCCTGGTTTTGTCAGGATGGCACTTCATTTAAGAAAAACCTAAAAACTCTTTAAAAAGCCAGAGAAGACAGAGCATGAATCCTTTGGCACCTCTGTCTTAATGACAGGAAGCAACTGGCTCCTAATAGGCTGGGTTCTGATTAAGAACAAAATTAACTGGTCCCTCTTGTGATGTTCTGCAGAGTCATCACAGCTTTCCTGACAGGACTTATCTTCTGAAAATACTGTATTTACAACTGCTGTCTTACTGAAGGACTGCGGGAGCTAGAGCTTGAATCAGTCACGTGGTGATACGTTGGTGTGTGCTGACCTTAGTAAGCTGAATGAAATCTCACACTGAAAAAGCAAACTGATTGTTTATTTTCTGTTTTAGGATTCCCAGACCTAGCCACCATTCTTCTAAGGAAATTTAAGTGGGGTCAGGCATTTACTGACTTGAACAAAAATCTCTTGGAAAGATATGCAGCCTGTCAGTGCCAGGAGGAAGTGCTCAGAGTTGAAAAGGAGTTTTTAGCCAGTGTCCAAGAAACAAAAGAGGAAGAAATAGGTAAGAAAAACCAGACACATAACACACCCTCTTTTCCTAACTAGTTTTCTTACAATTTTTTTCCTTTAATCTCATGCAAATATTGTCAAGATCAGAGCTTTGCTGAGATGTGTTGGTTATTCTCTCCTTGTGCTGAGTGCTCTCTCTGTTCTTTCTATAAGCAAGTTTGCTTTTTTTTTGTTGTTTTCTTTTTTTCCCCACCAGCTCAAAAAGATGAAAATGACCAAAGCAACTGAGTGCATATGGAGCTTATCCCCCAGGGAGCTGTGGAGCAGCCACCGTGATCAAATTAGGGATGTTAGAGAACTAAGGAGTAAAAAGAAAATGTGATGCTTCCTCATCTTATCTGATGTTAAAAGGTGTTAAAAACAGAGTATGACTAAAAAGAGTAGTAATTCAGGAGGACTGTAAGAGAAATAGAGGCATACAGTCCGACAGCCAGTTACTTAAACATAAACCTAAGACAGACTTTGAAAATACGTATGTATACAGTCCCTAATCAATATATTTAAAATCAGACCTATAAAATAATGAAAATAGCCAATAAGAGATGAAAATAAATAGAGTAGTTTATTCCCAAATTCTTCCAGTAACTTACCTGTATCCCAGTATTTCAGATTATATTCACAGGTGAGTGCTTGGTCTCAGTCTAGATAGGACAAAAAAGCCAATCAAAATGATCAAGAACAACATGAAGAGAGATGCTCCTAATTAATGTTTTCCTTTCACAGTGGTTAAGTGCCATAAAAACTGGCTAGTGGATCACACTGTAAGGAGATGGTAGACAGCTTTTAGTTCCTCTGAACTTTGATCTCTTTGCCATAAGGTGCTAGGCTGGATGAAATTGTTACTTTGTTTGGTGGAACCCTAACTACTGTTACATCAAAGTAAAGACAGTTCTTAAGGGACAGAATTACTATACCAAATAAAACACACTTCCACCCACAATCCTATGCATTTACCAGGTGGACAGTGGTATCAAAGCTACTGTGCTTTGTTTCGCTTTTCTGAGGTGCCAGTCCTCCCCAGCTTTCTAAACCAAAGTAAATCTAGACCTGCCCTTGCTCAGCAAGAGGTAAACCTGCATAGCTATACTTCAGTTCTCAGTAGACGTGAACTAACCAGTTTGGAACTAATGGTTTGGAACTAAACCATTGTGAGAACATCTGTGTTTTCTTACCAAAACCCTTACAAATCTGTGTGCAGCCTGATCACCCCCCTACAGCTACCAAATCCCGGGGTGGGTGGGGCCTACAAAGGGCATGGAAGAGTGAAGACTAGAAGGGGGGGACGGACGACGACACGGGACAGGACTTGGTAGCTGTTTCTCACCTTCCCTGGTTGCTGACTGAACAATGGTAAACTTACCAGAAAGCTGAAACAGACTTCTTATGCCTTCCCCTCCCTGCCAGTAATTTCTTAAAATGAAAATGAGGAAATGGGTGCAGACCCTTAACATTTGCCACCTTCATCCATGCATGCTTTTTTTTCCCCCTTCTTTTCACAGATCCATTTGATGTTGACTCGGGGAAAGAATTTTGTAATCCCAACAGACCGCTCAATTCCTCAGGGTAATGACATTTAAATACCATTTTTCTTATTTTAAGTTGCTTTGCTTTTATAATCGTGAAAAATGTTTCCAGACTAGCACAAAGCAATGAAGAATCTGAGGACAGTGCGAGCACTCCAGATGATGCCACTGAAAGCAGTGATGACAGCAGCCCAGATGATCATGGTACAGTAGACTTGCTGCAATAACCACCAGTAAACCAACTGCTTGAAAAGTAAAAAGAAGTCATCATCAAACCAACCCCACCAGAAGCCCAACAAAGAAAAAAAAAACCCCCAATAATCCTAAGAGTTGTAACATCTTTTATAAAGACATTTCCTTGTGAACAGTTAACAGTGTGGCCTGTTCACCTGTAACCTGGTGCTTAGCAAATGCCTTCCTTCAGCCTTCTCTGGCTATACATGGGTTTATAGGTCCATGTGTGCACATAAAGGCTTTAGGTTATTTAAGTTGTAGCTAATTGTGCAGGGAATTCAGAACTGTGCCACAAAATTTCAGGTAACAGGTTCAGCAACGCTCTCTGCCTGCATTCTTGTTAGTTGGAAGTGACACTGCCAAGTCAGAAGTACATGCTGAAATGTATTTCTGAAATGCATGCAGAAATACATGCTCCTTAAAGCTGCGAGTCAGATTCTCATCAGGGCTAGTATCTTGGTTCACTTTTCCATATACCTGCCAGTGTGCGGGCAAAAGTACAGCTATTAGCAATTGAAATTTTGTGGTACAGTTCTGAATATAAAGTGCCAAAACACTGTATGTTGTTTACGGCTTCTCTGTACATTAAAATGGAATGCTCTTGAGTTGCCAGCACCCTACTGGAGTTTATTTAAACCTAAACTTCAGCAACTTTTGAGTAGAATTGGTAATACTGAGGACAGTTTACAGTGTTACCTTCACATATACAAGCTCTCCAAGTCACAGCAAGATTTTCATCTCTCACCCCTCTTCTGCTAGAGAGATTCAATTCTAAGCCTACTTGAGACAGAATTAGGAGAACAGCAACGGTTTTAGTGGTACAAATATTCCATTTGCCTTAAAAAAAAAAAAAAAGCCTAAGTAAATTAATTTAATGGTCAAACTTTTCCTTCAGCTGTGGCCAGTTATTCACTTTCCCACCCCAAGCATATGAAGTCTCTCCTGACTCAGCTGTTGAAATAAGGATTTCTGTATTGTGACAAGGAAATAATCCTACACAAACAGTTTTCCAAGGACTAAGAATAACATGAGGGTATTACCTGCTGTGATCTAGGAAAAGCTTCCATGTCATAAAGCTATCACGTAATCAAATGCAGGCAAAGCGGAATTGAGCTATAGACCTGAGAACAGACCTGAATCACACTCAGAATGACTTGAGTCTCCAGCAGCAGCCTTTTTTTAACAAAAAACAAACCAACAAAACCAGTGAAGAAGCTACAACTCAGAACAAAACTTTTCACACTTCACATTTTGCAGAATTATTTTGACTAAAAAAATGCAATTAAAAAGCAGTGAAAGTTTAATGGAGGGCACATCAGATTGACATACATGAAAATAACTTACATAATTTAACTTTTCCTTTACAGAAGGGAACTTTAATTGCATTATGCATGTCCTTTTCCTAAAAGCTCTATACATTGACATATGGAAGAAGGCACAGAAGTATTCCTGATAAACAAGTACCATTTAAAATGCCCGGTTGCTGTAGGTCCCCTTGCATTCCTTGGACATTCTTTCTGTTATTATTCATATCAGTCTAATGCTTGTGTTATTTTATGTTAATGTGATCACACCAGCACGTTGATCTCATTATGCACAGTAAGCAGCTGGTCTCTAGCTAATCAGAATTCTGTATTCAAAGTTGAATAGCTGCAATTAGCACTGAGGGCCCAAAGAGGGGCTGCATTCATTTTGGGGTTGGAGGCAGGAAAAACAAATGAGGGCAGCATCTAAGCAAAATGTAAGCGCAGCATCACAGGCCTTAAAAATAGGACTTGCACTGAATTGTGTTCAGAGCCATTTAAATGGCAATCTTTTAATCATTTTAATGAAGATAAATGAAACAAAGCCCTTTATATAAACAGTTTATTTATTCTAAACAGCAACACAGACAGAATGCCATATAAACACAGAGGAAGTGATGCAGAATAAGGATGCTGGCTGACTTTGGATCTCGGAGGCTCTTAAGCAGTAACGGCCTAGTTTCTCAAAGATACAAAACCAAATTCAGTGAGGGAAGGGGGTGGAGGGCATGGTTTTTGTGGTGGTTTTTGTTTTTTTTTTTTCCATACAGCCAGCTAGAGGCTAAATATAGTTCTAACATTTTAAAGCATGCCTGCATCAGAGAGCAAAGGAACTAGAGATACTAGTGAATTTATAGAAGTATAAAAGTTTGTAATTTTACAGCAGTTGAAATACTGACATCAATATTAAAATAAAAGCAAGTTTTACATAACAATCAAAAATACAAAAGACTGAAGGAAGAGACCCTGTATGAAAAAACTGGGGGCAATTCAGCAAATTTAGAACTGTATACAAGTGGCGAATATGGAAAATGGCACACATACAACCCCCTCCCCTAAGTGGATATTAATTGTACATAGCAACATTAGATTTTGCAAAAGTTTTGTAAACAAGTTCTTGCCAAACCAATCCCTTCCTTTTTATGATGCTGCATGACAGATGCTTATGATGGTGCAAACTTCTTGGCTTGTGCTCGAACCCTCTTTTCATATTCCACTCTGTTTTGGCTGAATAGAAGAGAGGAGAAAGGGTAATTGTATCTTGAGAAATCAAGAGACTATGTTACAATTATTCTAGTTATTTTCAATACGAAACCAAGTCATTGCTGAAGGCAATTAGATAGGAATTCACTGAACAATGTAATATATTAAAAGTTTTTCTGGACCATTACTCTGATAACTTCCTTTGGAGGGAAGTACTGTTTAACTAGTTACTTCCCAGTCTCCATCTGTTGTCAAATGACGGTACTTTGAATTCACACCACACCAGTCTCTATGAAAAGTTCTGTGCCTGCTCTTTCTCAAGGCCAGCTTTACCCTACATGTTAAGCATTTGTTTTCCACTCCCCATGTTAAGACCTGAAGTCATTAACAAATACAATTAACAGTATCCTAACAGTACAAAGTAGCTGATGAGAGCAGTTCACTAACAGTTGGTACACTTCATATGATTTTAAAACACCATCTTTACTGCTTTGGAGAGAGAGAGAGGAAGTGCTCTTTAAGAAATGGGACGATAGTAACAGTATGGTAGTTTCAGCCTTCATTTTGAAGACCCCAACTCCCAGCGTTAAGCTTATCCTGACCTCCCATTCCAAAAGTTAGCTCAACATTCTGAAAAACCACTGTAGTTCCCCAAGTCTATCTACAGAACTGTGACCAGTTATGAAGCCCCAGCCTCAATACATAAAAGGGCAAATTGTTTTCTATTCTTGGACCAACAAGGGATGGCAGTAGTTTAGTAGAGCATCCATTTACATTCAGCACCATATTTTTTATTATTGGCCGTCAGAAGCGTCAAGAGCCAAACAAAATTTTGTTACCATCACTCTTGTACCAAGAGTAGTTTACAGTGAGTGGCTTTTGCAGACAGCTCTGCAGTAAAACTGAACTTAACTCTGCAGCTATGAAGGCTTCCTGCAGTAAAAGGAAAAAAAAAACAAAGGCAGCACAGTATCCCCTCGGAAGTCAGTGGTCTGGGGAGAAGAAGAAACGAAGCAAACTGATTACACCAATGAACAGTTAGGAGTGACCAGACTGAAACCACTCTGGCTGCTTCTCAGGAACAGGCGTACAGAGCTTATTCTAAGATTTTTCTCACAGTTCTATTGTGTTGTCACATGGGAATACAACCCAGGTGCTGGACCTCACACCCTCAGAATCCACACAGAAGAATGCCCGCCGTACGAGACTGCACACCTGCAGGACAGCAAGGTGGTCAGCACATTCAGAGTGCTGAAGTTAGTGACAGTACCAAAGCTATCCTGAGAATGAGAACAAGTATTCTTATTTGAATGCAAAGCTTATTCTCGTATAGCTCACAACTTATCTAAAAACCATAGAATCATAGAATAGTTAGGGTTGGAAAGGACCTTAAGATCATGAAGTTCCAACTCCCCTGCCATGGGCAGGGACACCTCACACTAAACCACATCTCCCAGGGTTCTGTCCAACCTGGCTGGCCTTGAACGCTGCCAGGGATGGAGCATTCACAACTTCCCTGGGCAACCCATTCCAGTGCCTCACCACCCTTACAGTAAAGAATTTCCTCCTTACATCCAATCTAAACTTCTGTTTAACCTTTAACCCGTTACCCCTTGTCCTGTCACTACAGTCCCTAATGAAGAGTCCCTCCCCAGCATCCCTATAGGCCCCCTTCAGATACTGGAAGGCTGCTCTGAGGTCTCCACGCACCCTTCTCTTCCCCAGGCTGAACAGCCCCAACTTCCTCAGCCTGTCTTCATGCAGGAGGTGCTCCAGTCCCTGATCATCCTCGTGGCCTCCTCTGGACTTGTTCCAACAGTTCCATGTCCTTTTTCTGTCGAGGACACCAGAACTGCACACAATGCTCCAGGTGAGGTCTCACAAGAACAGAGTAGAGGGGCAGGATCACCTCCTTCGACCTGCTGGTCACGCTCCTTTTGATGCAGCCCAGGATAGGGTTTCTTTCTGGGCTGTGAGCGCACACTGAAGCCGGCTCATGTTTGGTTTCTCATCAACCAACACCCCCAAATCCTCCTCTGCAGGGCTGCTCTGAATCTCTTCTCTGCCCAACCTGTAGCTATGCCTGGGATTGCTCTGACCCAGGTGTAGGACTTTGCACTTGAGACACGGCTGAACTTAATAAGGCTGGCATCAGCCCACATCTATTTAAAACAGCTCTGTGTCTTCCCCACTATTTATCAAATGCCAAATTACAGACGCATATATAATCCTGCTCCGTTCTGCTGCTTCTACCCACTATGTAGTAAGAGACATACTCTCAGACTGCAGAAATACAGTAACTCACCTAAAACACTATGCATGCCCAAAAGCCATGAAGAGGATAAATGGAAAACTATATATATACATATTTGAAGTAGCAAAACTTATGTGCAATATTTATTCTCAATGTTGTTTGTTTTCCTAGAAGCACAATAAAGAAGCTAGAAAGACTAGCAGATTGGTTTTGTGTGTATATATATATATATGCAGGTAGAAGCTGATAAAAAACCCACATGAACTGTCTATACATGTAGAAAACTATTTTGCCCAATATTCCTTCAGAAGTGGCTTTAAAAAAAGAAAAAAAAGGGGGCAGGAGGGGACCCTGCCTCCTTATTAGTGGCTCCTAGAAGAGCTGGTACAACTGTGGCCACCTGACTATCCTCCATGTGCACTCAGTCCCCATCAAGTCTTCAGTTGATATTTCACTAACACTGAGCAAAGCTTTTAATTAAACGCAGGACTTGCTACCCATCCCTAGGTTTCCTTTTCACTAGGATCCTATAGCAGACATTTCTGACATAGCCTGCACATGAAGTCTCATGAAATGTCATTTTTCAAACTTGGCTCTCTCCCGACACCTCTTTTCTGTCCAGAATGGCAATTCCAGATTTCAATCTTGTCATTATTTCAGTAGCTGTCAGTGCCAAAAGCATTTGTTTAAAGCCTTTTGCTCCCTCAGAGATTCCGTATCAGCCCCAATGATCCATTTTTAATGGTGAGGAAAGAAAAAAAAAAAAAAAAGAAAAGAAAAAAGGGTCCTTTTTAGCTCCCAGATGATCACTGCCATATCACCAGTGCAAGCTTCGCTCTGCTGAAGCTATGAGCTTTTTGTACTTCTTAACCTATTCTTTTGGAATATCTAGTTTTCACAAAATGCCACATATTTCCTACAGCAACCACAGCAGCTCTCCCTTACCCTTATAGGTACCCATTCCTGGACAAAAGTTACTCCTACACTGATGAACAGGACTTATCACCTAATTTAGTCTCCTCTATCACTGGTCTCATAATTATGTCTCATCACTACTACTCAGCCTTTAGGGGAAAGGTTTCTGTGTTTGGCTAGAACCAGGATGAAAATCATGGTCTAACTGAAGGAGTCTTCACACTTCATTGCTGTTGCAATGCTATTAAAAGCCCCACTAGCTTATTAACCATGAAGTTACCGTTTCGTTCAAGTTTAGCACAAACCAGGCATCTCCACAGAATAAGTCACAAAGAAAATTCCCCTCATCATTCCTAAAAATATTAGCATGTTATACTGTAAGTAACAGACAGCTGTAGGCAATATGAAAGCTTTCAAGCTGATAAGCAAAGATACTTACCAGTAAATTGTGTAAGCCTCTGCTTGAGCTGGGTCTTGAATATTTGGTTCATTTAGAAGTTCTTGTATTCCTAACAAGATCTGTGGCAGAAGGAATAGAAGTAACATAGGCATGGATATTACTAAGAGACATTCAACAAAAAAAAAAAACCTTAGAACTGTAGAAACAGTGAATATCTTACACTCACATCAGATAAGCAAGCAAAGCAAATAAAAGGGCTAAATATATGTCTAAGTACAAATAATGACCTGTTTAATTGTGATTGCTGGCCTCCAGTCCTTATCCTCCTCTAAGATGGAAAGACACACTGTGCCTGAAGGATACACGTTTGGGTGGAATAATGGTGGTTCAAATTTACCTGATGAGGAAGAGAGAATTACTTGCATGCAGCACTAAGACCAAGATCAGCGAGCTGGTTTATATAGGGCAGGAGAGCAATGGGCAAAGACACCCCTACCCCCCAAAAAAAACCACACAGATTTCTGGTGCTATTAATATTGGTTTTCTTCTTGGCTCAGCCTGCACCTAAAGCAGTAACTTCATCACACCCGTGGTATCAGCCCAAGCAATGTAACACTGTTGTGACCTTTAATCTTCTGGGTTAGGAATGGAAACTACCAAAATAGTCTATAGTAGCTTTATGATAAAGACCTTTTTAACCAATCCTGTCTTTACAGCCTCACGTAGAACAGAATGCCCTTTGCTTATCTCTTCTCACTTTAAAATACTGCAAGTTCTACACAAAGATGACTTGAGCTCCTAGCATTTTTTTCAGTTTCACGTTTCCTTAATGTATAAACAAGAGGAACCAAATTCAACTTGCAAGGCTGACTCACTGAAGAATTAGGCTTGTGCAACTCTTCTTCTGCCACTCAATCTATATTCTGCCATTTCTCTAATGTTTACAGGATTTAAATGCAACAGCCACTATGAAATATCTACATGTTAATACAGTTTTCTAATTCATCTGACATCACTGAGCAGCTCATAAGCAAGATTTACTTGTGAAGTTCAGTAGGAACTCAGAAGCTGCATTGGTATGAAGTCTTACCAGTCACATATACATCCTATCTTAAGGCATGGCAGTTTATTTAACACTTGCACGATGGGCTAGTTGGTGTTTCTCAAGATATTAACGTTAAATATTTTCTAGTTAAAACATGTTTCCTTGTGTATTTAGGTGGTAACAAAAGGAGTTGCCAAGACAACCAATACAGCTGAAACACTAAAACGAAATGAGAAATGAACCACTGTCAAAGGAGCCATCTGTATTCACTGTCATTGATTTGACATGGAAGCCAATTTGAGAAACAAAAACTAGGCAAGGCAATAAATACTTTCAGATTTCTAAAGTAAGTACTTCTGAGATGGGATAAAGCAAACTCAAAAAACTCAAACGCCTCAAACCTGAAGATATCTGTTGCACATAGTGTCAGAAAAAGAACAGATTCATATTTTAGAGCAAGCTGATGAAAAGGTTAAAAGTTGATGAAATTTTTTCTATTTAGTATTTTTTCTAAGTTCTTGCCTTCTGAGTTCTTGGCTTAGAAGACCAACTTAACATTAAGAACACACAAACGGCTTTAGTCTAACAATGCCTACCTGCCAGTTTCCAAACAGTACTGATCAAGTAGTGAACACCTCAAGTGCTGCTTTTGTCAGACTTTGAGGAAAGACACACAGTAATTAACCTCCCATCACAATTTTGTTACACTGAGCCGTTATTTCATCACAACTTTCTAAATGCAAAGTGATGGGTGGGGAAAAAGAAAAAAGAAACTTTCTGTTAAATAAAAGATATCTGTAAGAAAGTAATAACCATTCATAGAACTTAGTGGACTAGTTTAACATTGTTCCAACAAACCTGTGGGGTTTAGTCATTTTACTTACATTTTGGGGGTGAAGAAGGGTAGTCATCCTTGAAAAGCATCCGTAATTTAAATAAGCCTCCTTCCCATGGTGTCTATAAGGAGTTACGGTAGAGTTTAGATTACACCAAAGAGAAGTCAAACTTCTGGAAAAAAGCTCATCAGGAATATAATTTCTCAGACAAAGTGCAAGACATCTTTTTGCTATACAGCAGGAAATAGCTGTCCTACACTGTAGCATGCTGTCTAGGCTGAGACAAGTTATCCTACCTATACAACAAGCTGAAGAATTAAAACCCTGCTTTTCCACTTCATTACAGCTAGTAGCTGCTGCTGAGTCTTCAGCAGAGCCAGGATCACTGGTGATAATTCCATAAACAAGTAAAATTTTCACAGTACACAGATGAACAGAATAATTCTGAAGTTTTACATGTGTCCTGGTTTCAGCTGTATTGGAGTTAATTTTCTCCCCAGTAGCTGAGAGGGTGCCTAGTGGCTGGTCCTGGTGGTGGTTTTGGCTTTAATATGAGAATAATGTTGATAACACAACAATGATGGTTTAGTTGTTGCTCAGTAGAGCTTACACTGATCAAGAATTTTTCAGTCTCTCATGCTCTGCAGTGAGAAGGGGCACAAAAAGCTGGGAGGAAGCAGAGACAGGACACCTGACCAAAATTAGCCAAAGAGATATTCCATACCACAGCATGTCATGCTGGGGATAGAATCTGAGGTGAGTTACCTGGAAGGGACCGATCACTGCCCTGGTCAGGCTGCTGAGCAACTGCACTGTGCAGCACTGCTGGTTTTCTAAATTTTCTCCTTTTCTTTGTTGTTGTTCTCTACTACTATTATTGTCAGTATTGTTATTGTTGGTATTACTTCTATTATCCTTAGATTTTACTTAATTTCATTTATGAAACTGTTCTTATCTCAACCCACAGGTTTTATATTTTTCTGATTCTCCTGCCCATCCCACCTGGGAAGGCAGGAAATGAGCTACTGGCTGGGCTTAAATCATGCAAGATGATACACGTTCACTGAGAAAGGTGGAATTATACCGCCACTTAAAATAAGTTTGAGAAGATAGGATATGGATACACCCCTTAAGCACGTGGATGTAAATGGCTTCTATTTTGCCTCATGAGAACGTGGCTAAAACCCACAAATGAACAAAAACTTTAGACAGCACTGTAGTACCACTACAGTTAGTATGAGGTTCACTAGCCTAAACTAACCCTGTCTGCACTTGGTAGCAAGCAGTTTCACAGATTCCATCTTTTTGGGTTACAGAAGCTTTTTATCCCCATCAGAAACTGCGAAGAGCACTGATAAGAGCAGTTCCCGTGCTACAGACAAAATAAGACAGCACTATTCAAAAAGTTCACATAATCTAGAAAAAGCATCCCACAAAGGACAAAAAGGGTGTCTCAAAAATATATTTCCTTGTCATCTTAGTTGGAAATAAGGAAAAAAAAGCCTATCTTCTGACAAGCAGATCTCTGGTAAGTGTAGAAACAGTGAAAAGTTTATTGCGTATGTAAAATTCAGACCCCTTCTCTAACTTGCCCTTGCTATGGACACACTGCAATGAAAATAAGTGTTAATTCTTTAAAGTGAACCTGAGTAAAAATCAAATCCTATCCTCAGGAGCAGCCAGCTATGTTTGAAGGCCACCTTAGGAGGACATCCCCAACTCTTTTCTACCATTGTTATATAATTTTTTAGCAGAAGAAAAAAAAAAAAGTAAACAAACAAAGAGCAAACAAACACACCCCACCCCCCCCAAGCACTCCATTGTCATTGGTATTCATTGTGCAAATTCTCAAACTGGAATAGGAAGAAAATGTGCTATGAATACCAAAATAACCATGGTTTAGAAAGCAAGTAAGTTTCATTTCACTTGCTATTTTATATTTGAAGAACTTGTTCTGAACAGCTGTAGTCAGTTGTTAACAACTAGAAATATTTATTCTCTCGTATTTCTCAGAGGAAACAAACTTGCCCATTTAGAAGAGAGAAGCCTTTTGGTATGATGAACTTTTCACATTCTGTTTGCTTTCAGTCACAGGGGAAGACAAATAGCTTTTAATAGTTTCTTCAAGTAGAACACCAGACAGTCAATCAAGTTTTTATTGTCTTTCTCACAGAGCAACATACCTTAGAGATGAAAGACAGCAGATACTCAAAAGCCTTACTAAGATAATAGCATGACAGCAAGATTGTGTTGTGTAACTGGACAGGTTACAGATGTTCTTGGAGTCAGATTCTGGGTAGTTAACAAGTGATTTGCTGTAAAAAAAAAGTGAACGAAGATATCCCAGGACTAACACAACTTCAATTTTTGATCTGACTGACAAGAAATCATTTTGGTGGTTTCAACTACTCGTGTCTCAGGGGAAGCAGGTGCACTACAGCACGCCTCCAAAGAGAGAGGCAACAGAGAGCCTCTGGCTGGTCTGGTAGAGACAAACAGGGCACACTGCTTCTTGTTAGAGACAGCATTTTTACTCAAGTGAAAACCCCAATTTTTAAAATATCAGGAATCACGTGAGCAAAACTAACCTTTTCCTGGTGTGATGCATTTCCTAGGATGCAAGATGTTGACTTTAAGGATCTTGTTTGCTCCACTTTGTGGTTTATAACACTTTAAAGCACTAGCATGAAGATATTATATAGGTATTTAAAAGTGACATCATGATAAAGTACATAACTAGCTATGAGGAGGGATAATCTTGTTTTGGCAGAATGCAAGTGGATAAGTCTTACCCCTTTCTTTCCTGGAATAGCACATTCCCAGTTCATTAGATTCATTGTGCCATCTGGATTTTTCGTGGGTACCGCTACAAATCCCTGAATTAAGGCAAAAAGCCAAAGGGTGAGGATTTTGGAAGATGTACTTGGAATACTTCATGACATATTTTATCTTTACAGTTATTTCTTTTTGCACTACATAGCTTTAAATGTGTTTTTTTTTTAATTAAATAAAAATAGAAAAAAAGCAATATAGGAAAAATCACATCAGGGTAGAAAATAAAAAAAACCTTCATCAGAACTCCAAACCAACTGCAGAGTCAGAAATTTCACAGTTCTCATACTTACAAACGGATGATCTTTTCTCCAGGCTTTTCTCTCCTGTGCCAGTCTGCTAAGAGCTATGCCAGACATATTCACAGTCCTTCTAAAAGAAAATAATTGCTTTTAGTATAAACTTTTCCTTATAGTGTAAACAACACATTGTACCATCTGCCTGTAAGCCCTGCTCACTTCAGGAGTTTCAACGTGTGTTTCCAAGACACGCATTTTTGCACATCCTGCAGAAGTTAAAATCAAGAATAACATCAAGTTTCCCTACATCAACAACCTCTTAGTTACTGGTCTTGACCTACAAAATACTATCCCCACCTTGTGTTTTGTATCTGAGTCACATCTTAGAGACTACTTCAACAGTAGCTTGGCAACAGAAACACTATCAGTAATGAGAAAATCATTCAGACATCCTACTTGCACAACTGATAAACACCTATCTCCTTCCTACACCACAGAAAGTTCAGCTGTCTTCTGCAGGCAAACACCTGTATTGCTCCTGTCTCTGGCAAACAGAGGGAACAATGCATGTTATTTTTAGACTGAAAATTCCTGTTGAAAGCCAGTATTCTACACAAAAGCAATAAAGACACAGCAATTAACAAGATCATCTCAGTTTCACAGCCATGCCACTATAGAACTTGTAGACAGCAATACAGAAGAGCACTCAGGAATAGCCACTGGTTCACTCATTCTACAAAGCAGGTTTTAAACTCCAGTATAAACTGAATGATCTTTCTACACTTCCAATGCCTTACTAACAGCCAAGCATGTCTTACTTGGTGACTGAGACTATAGAATAAACACATACAGCATAGATTACTGCTACAGATGACACAAGAACAGTTCTAGCCACAATGGCTGCAAGAGTGGTCCCTTCAAATTCCCAGAGGATTCTCCACCCAGAACAGTAATCAAAGTGAGAGTTTATTTTTCACAATCCAACTGTATCTAAACCTAGGGTTTCACTAGCCACATGGCCAAAACAAACTCCAGCTAAGATTTTTAATCCTCCTCCCTACTGCTCTTCCACCCATTTTAAATAAGAGCTGATAATTGGCAGCTGGAGAAGTCAGGTCAATTTATTCTCAACTCCACACATAGTGAGCAAGCCTTTATGACAGCCAGGAGAGTAGCATTCTTCCACCAAACAAACTCACAGAATTAATGAGCGTTACCACTCCATTAAAATAAACATTTAAGCACTCACCAGTAATTAAGCAAAGCTCGCGTTCTATTACTATGCAGTTACCTGTAAAAATATTGCAGTCTATTACTAGAACCATATGAACTGTAGCTCACGAAGATCCTTATTTTAAAAATCTCATACATCATCTAACATGATGCTCATGCTTAAAAGATTAACCAAGCACTGACCTATTCCATGCATGTACATACCGCTTAAGATTTTAGCCTGTTGACATGCAGATGTGGAGTCACTGAAAAGATACCACCAGAACAAAAAGACCTCTCCCTTAAGCAAATTATATAGGGAGTAGTTTTAAGGATTTTGTGAGCCCATGCGCATTAACAAATGTCAATGAACTACTGAACATATATCAGGATTTTAGTGGTGCTTCCACCTGGTGGTTCCCTGCACGAACACAAACCTGCCCATAACAATTTGAGGAACTCTTTCTGCTTATAAACCACTCCAATGTCATTCCCATAGTTCAATAACTCAGCTGCCTCTGCTGCCAAGACACGCCTTACAGGACACTTTCCAATACGTGAATTGTACTTCCTGTGGCCAACAGCCAATTAATGACGTGCACCTAAGGGGGAACGCCAACTTTTCAGAGCACATAAACAACCTGTGTCCTGCAGAGCATCACCAATCAATAACCACTTCACGGGTAGGGGGTGAAGGTGTCCCACTTGCTTTGCAGCTGCTCATGCACCACACTCTATCCTAGTAAATTAAACTTCCGTTCCCCCCCCCCCCCCCCCCCATGTTCTATGAATACCTTTTCAAGTTTTGGGACATTTGTCTTGGTTAAACACTGACAGGATACATCCAAAATTTCAGTGTGTATGAGACAATGGGCTTCATGTATATGGTCTCCACAGATTTTGGTTACCCTGACAAGGGCAGACAAACATCTAAAACATCACTACAAACTACTAACAACAACAGATTAGAGACAAAAACAACTGAAAGCCCACTTCAAAAATTAAGTTCCTGTTAGGTAAGCATCCCCTCACAAGCAAATCAATCCATTAACAAATGGCTAGTACATACTCTCTAGCAGCTCTTCAATAGAAGAATTTAACTTTAGTTCTCCTGGAGCTTGAAATAGGACAGAGACTGACCACCTCAGTATGTATTTTGGTTTCAGACATTATGAAGGAACAGGAACTGAGTATTAAAGCTGAAGATATGATATTCTCACTGCTACTTTTAACTTCTTTAGTTATTTACGTGAATGATCTGTTTGTTTTTTTTTCCATGTCTCTCCTTTGGAATAGGAGCATGCCCAAATACCTGTACATGAACTTTAGCTTTTGTAAGCTTCTGAAATACCTCAACAAATGCAAGAAATCTCAATTAACCTGATATAGTTACAATTTAAAAGCAAATGCATAAGCACAGCACATGCCACCATGACACAAACAAATAACATCTCTCCCCCCCCCCCAGTTCTTAGGGTTTAGTTGTGTTGGTTTGGGGGTTTTTGGTTTCTTGTTTTTCTTTGAATCGCATCAAATTCGTTTTCTTCACCTCAAAAATTTACTGCTATCGAATTCCCAAGGTAATTATGTGCTACGTCACTGGGAGGAACACAAACTTTTGCACTGGAGGAACTATACCAAGCCTACCTTACACAGACCTAACAGACCAGTCTTCACATTTTGTTTGGTTTTAATCCCTCCTTGACACAGCCCAGCTTTAAGAGGTAGCAACATCCCTTTTAATGCTATGAATTCATTAGAAAATTAACACAAACTTCCAAATTCACTCAGTAGCTCAACTCTACTGCTGTTACTACCAGCTATTTTGGAAAGAACAAAACCAAACCAACACACTCATAGGAATAAACTACGTTCGCTTGGACATCATCTTACCCATCTATACCTTCTGGGGCAGGGGAACCTACTTCCACACACAAAAGGTAAGTCTTGCAAAGAAGCATTCCCGTTCCACAGGAACAGCTATCACACCCATAATTCTGACCCATGACAAGTCTCTAAACACACCAACGATGTGCTTTTTAAGCCTCAAAAACTTTCAATAGCTCTTATTAATTCCGAACAGCGAGGGGGAAAAAATCGTTAATGTTTCTAGCCTCACATTTTTACTTTGGAGGTTAAATACTGACACGGGGGGGAAATAAAAAAAAAAAAAAAAATCAACTGGAGTAGTCTGCCCCAAAACGAGGCAA